TTTAGCTGGTTTGCATTAGGATGTTGACTATGCTCGTTTCCATCCCCTGTGGCATTGACGTCCTGAGTTGTGGATCCGACCACAAATGTCCAGTCATCAGAATCAGTCGGTTTACTACTTGAAGTGTTGCCTGGACCATCTCGCTCAAGAACGGGCTTTAACATAAGAATTTCGACGAAACAGTTGTGGCATCGACTATGACCACACATGGAGCAAGCTTCGATAAAAATAGTATGTCCATGATCACCACAGTTACACTGAGAGAAGAGATAAGGTTATCTCTTACCGCACAAAATGCACATGTATAGTGGTTTGGGTTATCACTTACACAACACCACGTGCTATCAGCCACTTTGCATCCACACATATCTTCTCCATTATCGCTGATCGACTGCTGCCCCAATGACTTGAGCTGCGCCATCATTGGTTACTCATTATTTGTTCAACGATGCAAATGTGCGGACGGAAAGGAAAGTCTCTAAGGTGAATCGAGCACCTCCCCCTTGTTGCACAAATCTAGGTGTTTCAGTAGGTCGATATCTTCCTGGTACCACCATCGTCTTTTTATAATGCATCGTGTTGTCCATATTGAGCGACTTCATGCGATTTAACGCGGCCGGTTTGAGTGGTATCACGATACACAAATCTGATCAACACAGATCTCAAAAACACAACGGTGTTGTTCAAGGAACAGGGATGCTAGTCCGCGGCATGGCACGGTCAGACGCGCAGAGTTACAGGGATTTGCGGTCAGCCACCATTCACCGGTCTCGCCTGGCCTTATCCTGCATGAGAAAGGAAACGCCCTAGCAGCTTCACAGCATCTGATTTGCTGTCGGTTGGTGGCTTCTCAGCAATGGCGCCTCTCGCACAACAACGTAAGATGGATGCAGTCATTCGTTCTCGCCATTTTGAGCTCTAGTTTTCCGATTTTTGTGACCCTATTTATCAAGTAGTTCTGTCTCTAAAGTATGGGTGTCCTGTCATCAGAGTCCTACTTATTGACCATGAGTGATGCAATGTGAGCACATGCCGCAGCCCGCCGGCTGCGGGGGTGGGGACATGCATTGGCAAAACTATCAACAAGGGCCAGTAATTAGAAGTTTATGCCAACAACTGCAACCATGTGTGTGTGACCGGTTCTTGTAGGCACAGCGAACCAAAATCCAGCACTACCGACTGGTGCCTATGAAATTCGCGATTATGAAGATGCACGATAAGCATTCAATATAACACAGCTAATTCGTTGTGTACATTGATGTCGAGATACGCGTAATCATGACAGGTTTTTCAGTATCTATAACATTAAAACACTGCGTCCATAGGTTAATCACAAACATACATTATAAAAGTTGAGCTACTCAAATATGCAGAGGATTTTACTGCGCGGTGATTTCTCCAGTATACTATTTTGCCTGAAAGTACGAGGGTTTGATGATATCGCGATTGCTACCTGCCTGAAGTAGATTACAAGCAATACTATGCTGAACATAGATCTTGGGAGGTGATGTATTTAGCTATGCTTTTTTCTCATGCTGGCTGGTTTCAGGTTGAAAGAAATACGCTCTGTGTCCCCGCCACAGCTCTGTCAACTGCCAAACAGTAACATTGCTAGAAGTGCATATGTCAATGGAACAATCGCGCCTTTGTCAAATGCAGAGACAATCATGACCCAGGAAGGGGACCTGAGGAAAATCAGGACGGTCGTCTTATTATGACGACTCTCCAAGACTAGATATTATCTATTGAATTGAACTGCGACAGCGGAAGAGAGCTGCCCAAGGGCAATAGTGTCGAGCAATGATATTAGTAGGTGGATTGAACGGTGGTGCTACGACTGATGGAGATGGCAGCGGCCTCAGGATAGATGTGATGTGTAGCTCCTCAAAACCTCCGTGCAATTCTGGTAACTCAATGAAAAGATGAGACAACAATGACACTGCAAGAATAGTGAATGGAGCGCAGTCAATTTAGCGGATCTGTAAGTTTCTTATTCGGGTACATCGGTATGGCTATCGTCAGTGGAGCAGTTTTATCAATGCCTGGCTTTGTGCTTGATTTTAGTAGTGCAGCCTACCTTGTGCGATTATCTCAAATTTCGTGTTTCGCACCGGAGATTTCGTCATCCTAAGCCTAAGCCGGTGTATAAAGCCAATACTGCTCACACTTGTGGCGTTGCTCCAATCCACTGCGGGGTTGCAACTGTCACACCTCCAACAAGGGAATCTGTCGCCATGGCGGCATTGGAACAAACCAGACAATTCCTCTGGGGTCCTCCCTCTCGGGACCGCTCACTGCTCATTAAGCTTGACTTTACTCTTCTGCCATACTTTGCGCTTATATGGTTTCTTTTTGGCATCAATCGCAAGAGTTACTCAACCGCCTATATCAGTGGTATGGACGTCGATCTCCACTTCAAGGGAAAAGACTTCAATTATATGAACACGATCTATATAGTCTTCTATGCTATCTTTCAAATCCCCTCTACATCTTTATTGACTATACTTCAACCGAAATGGGTTTTTGTCGGGTGCAATATCGTCTGGAGTATACTAACATTGGTAACATTTCGTGTGACGCACGTGTATCAAGTTTTCATCCTGAATGGCTTTGAAGGTGCATTTGCAGCAGTCTGCTAGTCAGTAACCCTCGAATTTGTTTCTTGTCTTCACAAAGTCGTTTTTAACCATACTTGACAGTGTTGGTGGCCATTTCATCTATGGTAGTTGGTACAAGAGGTCGGAGCTGGGCACACGTGCCGCCATCTTTTGCTGCTTTGGTCACTTGGGTAGTATGGCTGGGGGGTGGATTCAAGCAGGTCTGCTTAAGTCGCTCGATGGCCACGGGGGATTGGCTGCCTGGAGATGGCTATTCATTATTGTTTCCGTTATCACTATTCCCCTTGTAGCCTTCGGTAAGTACCGTACGTCGATTCCTTTCTTTTCAGTTTCTCTGACATCAGCGATCATAGGTTGGGCTGTCATCCCAAACCTCCCATCTCACAAGAGTGCATGGTACTTGAGTGAAAGTGAGAGACAGTGGGCTATTGATCGGCTTGGAAAGCCGAAGAAACAAGACTGGGATGTGACAGTGCTCAAAAGAGTATTCGCAAGTTGGCAGTTTTATCTTTTGCCTCTCATCTTCATGTGTAAGATCGCCTTTTCTTTGGTTTTCCTTTCCGAATCTTACGTATTTGTCTACTCCATGAGATAAAACAAGATCCTGACTCGGCAAAGTATATTCTCTGTGTGTTCAGTCGTTGCTGAATAATGTGATGCCTTTATGGATGAAATCTCGCGGTTACTCCATTATACAACAGAACACCTACCCCACCGGCATTTATGCGACTGCTATTGTTGGCACTATTGCCTACTCAATTTGGTCTGACTCTATCCAATCACGCTGGCAACCCTCCTTAGCTATCGGCGCAACCTTCATCCTTGGCAGCGCCATTCTTGTCGCAAGCCCTGATCACGATGTGGCCATGTTCTTCGCCTTCTATGTATTGGGTACGACATACGCACCGCAGGCCTTATGGTATTCGTGGATGGCCGACGTGACGGCGCATGATCTTCAGCTACGTGCGATCACGACAGGATGGATGAACTCGTTTGACTTTGCCTTTGTCACCTGGTGGCCACTTATCTTCTATCCGGTCACAGACGCGCCACATTATAGAAAGGGATATATTGCGAGTCTCGCAACTGGGGCCGCAGTGATCCCATTGGTTCTATTAATCGCGTTCCTTGAGAAACGGGATAGGATCAAGGGGAAGATTGGTCGAGATTTCGACAGTGAGGATGGTGACGATGGCGAAGACGAGCGGAATCTTACAGCAGACAATTCTGAAGACGGCCAAGCTCGTCATGTTACTACGAGTTCTAGCAAGACATGAGACGCTTATATATATGGAAACATTGACTTGGAGGAGCATAGTCTTACCCCTACCAGCAGTCAGGTGACTTACTTTGCTATTACTTTCTTCATTTTACTTACCCTACTTAACTATTACTATTCATTTATTGGATCAGATTTGGCGCAGATCGCTCTGTCCAATACACCATAAGATACACAATGAGACACAATACAATTGTCTCTCTTCACAGTAACCAATTTACACAGTATAACTATTAACTACTTATAAAACAAGAATAGCTACTCCTTTATTCTCGGTATTTTCTCATGCCCTGGAGGCTTCTTTTTTTTGTTTGCTATGTGATATCCTGATTAGGTGTTGGTCAGTAGTACGTACTGCTGCCTTTTTTCAACATGTCGCATGTCCTCCAAGGTTATAACACCAAGAAAAGTGGGTTGAAATCTGCAATCCTTAGCTGAGAACAGAAAAGTCATTTGCTCGTTGTACGTGATTCACGGCCAATAAGCCCAATCATGCCTTCGTTCGCTTATGGGCCATCCTCGTGATAATCCTACTTCCAATTTCGTTTTCAAGGCGTAACCTCTCAGCAATGGCGCAACAAGCTTTGGTAAGCTCGTGCTTGGACGTGGCGCTTTGCACCTTCCCACCTTGGCAAAGATCACATTTAACGAACAAATATAAAGTAATGTTGACAAAGCAAGAGAATTTTGGTATTTTGAAGTATCCGTGCCTTCGTTCTTCTGTTAAGTATAATATCATTCTATACTATATCGCTAGATTTCGTGAGTGTGTTGCGAATCACGATGAGTGAGACTCCCCCATTAACTTTGATCTCCACGACCTAATAGATATGCTTTACAGCCGAAAACGTAGTAGGTCTCAATGTCCGCAAAGTCGTTGAGCCTGATACCGATCAAGGCATACCTTCTGTCCGAGCTACCGACGTCGAGAATCACGCTGCCCCAGACTTGTCCCATGCCGAGTCGCGGCTTGTCTCGCCTGATGAGCCTGCCCATGTTGTTGATTATGACACCTATCCACCTCCAACTGAGGAAGAGCACAAGTCACTCCGAAAGGTCTATGACACAATCCCTTGACGGCTTGGTCTCTCTGCTTTGTGGAAATGGCTGAACGTGCTTCTTATTATGGCGTAAGAGCTGCTTTCAACAATTATATGCAATTCCCACTCCCTGCAGGTGGACCCGGAACTGGCGCCATCGATCCCAGCAAGCCGAACTCTCACGCTGGCGCACTCAACCTCGGCCTCCAAACGGCCTCTGCGTTAGGTCTATTATTCACCTTTCTAGCTTATGTCATTCCTATTTTTGGTGCATGGATTGCAGACGTCAAAATTGGTTGTTATCAAGCAATTGTATGGGGCGTTCTAGTTGGCGCCGTCGCACATGTCATCATGATCGGTGGCGCTGCACCAGCTCTCCTGCAAGCCGGAAAAGGTGTTGCACCATTCTTCGTCAGCTTCTTTATATTGGCGATAGGAGCTGGAATATTTAAGCCGAACGTTGCGCCAACCGTTATCGACCAATACAAGTATCAACGCGCATACACTAAAGTACTCATATCAGGAGAAAAGGTCCTTGTTGATCCTGAGACTACCGTCAACCATATCATGCTAATCTTCTACGCCTTCATCAATGCCGGTGCATTCTTCTCAATTGCTGTTGTTTACATTGAAAAATACCGCAGTTTCTGGCTCGCCTTTCTAGTACCTGGCATCGTTTACTTCTTATTACCAGTGCTACTTGCAGCCACGTACAAGCGCACAATCAGAACGCCACCTCGGGGTTCGGACTTGACTCGTTTCATCAAGATCACCATTTCAGCACTCAAGACAAGCAAGGGAAACATTTTCGCGAAAGACTTTTGGCAGGACGTGAGACCTCTTGTACTCACCGAGCGAGACGTACGTGTCAGTTATTCGGAGAAGGATGTCGACGACGCGCGACGTACATGGCAAGCCGTTCAAATCTTCCTATACGTTCCGATCTGGAACTTGAACGACGGCGGCGTGGGAAATGCGTTAAGCGATCAAGGGGCCGCCATGACCTCGAATGGAGCGCCGAACGATCTCCTAGGCCACTTCAACCCTTTGGTCATCATTGTGTTCTCTCCGCTCATGGCACAAGTCGTGTACCCCTTTCTTCGACATGAAAAGATCAAGTTCGGACGTATTAGTCGGATGACATTCGGGTTCATTCTTGCCACCACCTCATCTGTCATCGGCGCAATAGTGCAGTACCGTGTATATGAAACTAGTCCATGGTGAGTGATGAACACAGATGCGTTTTCCTCCTATTGCCAACACTATTAACATCATGGCTTCCCATAGCGGCTACAATGCCAGCTATTGCGATGATGTGTCGCCTATCTCCATTTGGTGGCAAGTCCCGACTGTTGCGTTGGGTGCAATCTCCGAAATTTTTGTTAATGTGACGGCCTATGAGCTTGCCTACGCTCGAGCTCCGGAACATATGAGATCCACAGTTGTTGCGCTTTTCCTATTCATGACGGCCTTGAGCAGCGCATTGGGTGAGATATTGATTCCTGCCATTAATGACCCTACCCTTGTGTGGGCATGGGCCGCCCCTAGTATTGCACTCTTTGTCCAGACCGTCATCTTCTGGTGGAGACATCGCAATGTCAACGATGATGTCTTTATGATCTATTCAGAAAATTTCCAGCAGCTGGAACCTGTTGAAGACAAACAGGTCGAAAACCAAGCGGCTTAGATAGATGTGATGCCAGTCACATTAAGATGTCACAAGAACGCCCTCCGTTGTGGTGCCATGGTACGCCCGTGCTAGGAATATGTCTCATTCGGTTGAGAGGTATCGAAAGCTTTTCCATAATTTATGTACTCTAGAATTTGGAAAAGATGATGGGAAAGCAATTGTTGGTGGTCAGACAGACACAATCGAAGGCTTATGAGGGACACAAGGGTGGTGATGTTAGTATTCCATGCTGAGAAAAGAAAGATAAATGTCGGTTCTAACGACGGGTTCAATATGACGTTATTGTTAGTAGTGATGTTTTGAATGAAGTGTTTGTTTCTACTGTGTATTTTTTCCCCACAGATTCTTGAGTTGGATGTGAGTATCGGGCATGAGCCGCGGGCTACCTTTCACTTAGTTCGTTAACGTGTGTATTTCAGTGACCAGCCCCCCAAGTGTTTCTAGAAGTGTTTTAGCATCTGAAGCCTCCCAGAAGCTACCGTCGACAGTCGCACCGAACTAACTGTTCTCTGACTTGAAACCCCGGCTGGTTCTGATGCCGTGACAACTCTAGGTACCTATGTATCTCCAAAAAAGTACGATGTGACTCGATGATTACGGCGTTCGGGCGAGTCGCGCAAATATGAAAACATGATGAGAGACGGTGGTGCTCCCCCTCAGATCCAATGTGTGCGCACTCAGCCCTGCCAAAACCCGCATAAGTAAACAAACAGACAGACAAACTCCTGGCACGTCAAGCAAAAGACCGCACTTAAATCCCGAACACCAGAACAGACGAACGAGCTGATATCAACCTGTTTTGTTTAATTCAATTCAGTTAGACTCTACTCAATTCAATTCATGCCTCCCTCCTCAGGACTCGATCTCGGCGGCTTGCGACAGACTGACAGCTGACAGACAAGAATGACGATTTTACGAACGGAACGCTGTAATGACGACCAAACACCAACTCCGTCGTCGATGCTCTCCCGATCGGGTCCGACCCGGATCCAATTGATTTTCCGCGCTTGCTACCTTTGCCGACAAGGCCAATCTCCGACTGTGTGCGACGCCGATGACAAGCTGTACGACCTATCTGCCTCTACTTGACTCCGAGCAGGTTAAACCGACGCTCCCGCTCTTCCCTTCGCGACGACTTTTCTCCGCCGACGACGTTGCTTCGGTTTCGCAGTCAGGATCCATCCTCGAGTCTACCGAAGGCACGCAAAAAGCCACCTTTTTCATCGTGACGAGTCCTTGTGCCAAAGGCGTCGTCATTGCCGACCCTGCGATAGCCTTCGGGATGAGGGAATCTGTTTTGGAGTACACGGTCTTCGCTGTCGCGCCATTTCTCCGATAAGACCATGCCCTCGTACTCGTTGCGATACCGAACCAGGCGTCTGCTCGATTTTTGCTATGCTTCTGCTTCTGCTTCTGCTTCTGCTTCAAGATGATTCGCCGCTTCTTAAGTAATCCTTGGAGCGTTCACCACGAGTCCCTTCTGAATCTCGACGAAGCACATTGCGATTGTTATAAGTTCAAGAGGCCTGTTCATCCAAGTGGAATAGATACTGAAGGGGGGGGAAAGTTACGTCAGCAGTGCGCTAGTTTGACTGATGAAAGGGGGCTGGATCGCTTGATGCCCACGCCATGCTCGTTGACGCCAATACTCTGTCGCCTTGTGAAAGCAGGAATCGTCGCAATATCCAACACCGCCGTGATAACGTAACCGGTGTCCATACGATTGAGAGCCCTTCTCTACGTTCCTCCTCCACGTCTTACCTTGTCGCCTAAATCCCTCTTCGACAGCCTAATATGCTGCATAGATCGAGCAAGATCGAAGAAAGAGTAAGCGCCCGAGTGTCTTGATTTTGCATGGTCAGCTGCAACGCCAATGTAGCCCCATAAAGCTGGCCTCGCAAATCTTGAATATGTCAGTAGAATTGTAGCTACGTAGAACAGTAAATACACTGTGCATTGATTTGACTTTGGCGTTCAAAGGTCTCTCGATGATATGCGACCACACTGAGTGTCACTCGACTCCATTAAACTCCTTTAATACAGGGCGCTTGGTGACTTGGAGTGCTTAAAGATGTCCACGATATGAAAGAATGTCGTGGACCTCGTAGCATGCCCCCAGCGTCCGTCGGACTCACCGGCTCTCTTACAGTGAGCGATTCGTCATTTTGAAGCTTGGGGCCTTCCATAATTATGTAGCGTGTTACGAACACATCTAGAAGACGTTGCTAGACTGGTTGGACTTGGTGATGGTGATGCCGCTCCGTCGATGACAGGACTCCTTCACAGCGGTTAAGATTCGTGTCATGGAGTTGTCACCCAAAAGTGCTACTGGGTATAGAGACTTGTGTCCCAGAAATCCCACCCAAATGAGCTTATTAGGTGGGTATGAGCTCATAGCCCATGCTGCTCCATTACAGAAATCAAATTGAGAGGCACCGCGCTGCATCAGCATCGCAATCGAAAAGCACGCTCCTTCTTGAATTCTTAGCTTTGGCATTTCCTTTGCTACCTCGATGGATATGCAGTGGGCGTTACACAAAGAGTTCTACTTCTGCATTGGCAGGGTCGCAGGAAAATCCATGCATTGAATAGCTTAATTATTGAGTACATCTCCAAGTCTACTGATAGAGATCCTTATGAGCAGCCTTGATCATGTCAGCTCCCTTCTCGCCGATCATATAGACCGAGTTTTGAATACGACAATCAGGGATGACTGGCATCACAGAAGCGTCAATGACCCGCAGATTTCCGATGCCATGGACTTTGAGCTTTGGGTCGACAACTCCTTGACCAATGTTCTTGGAGAGACGATTGGTTCCACAAGGATGGAAGGCTGTCTGGCACCGATCCAAGACCGCTCTCTTCATCTCCTCATTGTTGTCCAGTGGCATGTCCCATGGATACTCGCCGACAACAATGTCCTTGAAGCCCTCTCCTTTCGTCAGAATGTCGTAGCTAAACCTGATGCCTTCGCGCATTGCAACGATGTCGAGATCATTGGCAAAGAAGTTCAAATTGATGTTCGGTTGTACCAGAGGGTCGGCGCTATTAAGCGTCACCTCTCCTGGATCAGAAATGGGCCGCACTAAATCGACTACAACACTGGTGTAGCACCCCTTCTTGGGGATAGGGTAGTGCCACTGAAATGCGCTACCAAACATGGATACGAAATCGAGTTCGAAGTGAGGCTGTCCTTCAGGCGAGAAAGGGTCAATCCCGCCGTTAGCAGCCTTAGCTTTGCGGTAGTCTGGATCCTTCTCCAGATACTTGTCGATGCGCGGGAACCCAACCATCTCCAGAAGTCCTGAGCCAAGAGGTCCAGTGGAATCTTTGCTATATGCAGCGATTGTGGCGGTATTCTTTGGACCTGTACGGAGCAGGTGGTCATCCATACCAAACCCTTCTTTGACCTGAAGGACAAAGGGGACACCAGGGTGGTCGATTAGATTCTGACCGACATGAGGGGAGTCGACAATCACTGGAATCCCATGTCTGGACAACTCTCGGGCGGGACCAATGCCACTGAGCATGAGCAGCTTCGGACTTTCGAAAACGCCTTGGGACACAATAACCTCGCGGCTAGCGTAGAAGCTGAGCTCGTTGCCAGAGGGGTCAATCACCGTTACACCCTTTGCAATTCTGCTAGCATCAATAATGAGACGCTTAGAATGCACCTGCGCTAGGATGGTGATGTTTGGCTTGTTCTTGACGAAGAGGTAGCTACCAGATCGTTTGCCCTTGTATATAGTGTCGACACAATGAGTCAAGCCGATCATGTCACCGTCGTAAATATTTTCGGTGAAAGGCTCGCCTCTCGACTTCCAAGCCTTAGTGAGGGCATCACGGAACGGCTGCATATCGTCGAGGAGTTCCGCGTGTGAAATTGGGATTGGACCGCCGCCGCCGATTTTTTCCAGATCTGTTGGGTACAGCTTCAAGTCGTCGTGATATGTGGCGCTCTTTCGAAGGTAGGGAACCAAAGGATTCCAACTCCATTCTTCACCACCATACTCACCCCATCTATCAAAAGTACCCTTGCATCCAGGTACCCAGGTGAAGTAGTTGAGAGAAGAGCTTCCACCGAGAGCCTTGCCACGGGTGTTGGGTTTCTCAATGCGCTCATAGTCATCTCGCTTGACCATAGTAGTTTTATATGCCCAGTCATGCTGACTGCCACGAAGGTCCATAGCTTTGGCAGGAGTGGTGATGTCAGACACATTCTCCGGGTCACCTACACCTGCCTCGACAATCAAGATTGTGGCATTCGGATTCGAGGCGAGGCGACCAGCAACAACATTGCCAGCAGTACCGCCTCCCACCACAATGAAATCAAAATGAGCTCCGTTAATCTTTGACATGATGAATGAATTCAATATTGTTTAGCTCCTGGAGATGAAGCTGAAACTGATAGTTGATAACCAGCAACTTTGAAATAGATCTTTACAAGTCTTATATGCACATAATCAACAGCTTGGTCGTCCATTTCCCCTCTTCTTCCTTCCAGCTTCTCGGGAACATCGGGCTGGGCTGATCGTCCGATCCCAGGATCCTCACCGATCAGTGCCATGAGAGATTGCCTTACTGGTGCACAAGATGGCTAGGAATGTACAAGCATCGCTAGGTATTGGTCTGCTACTCTTTCCAATACAAGCAGAGTCCGAATCTTCGTATGGTTCTGTCAATGTCAGTAGCGATTTCAATTGAGTATCCTGCAATCGGTCACATGGTCAGGACATATCAATTATTGGTGCATTACTATTTCTGAAAAGAGTATCACTATGTGCGTCAGGGCCACACGTAAGCAACATTAATGGTATAGCTGCAAACTCAAAACAACGACTTAGGTCGGGAGGATCAAATTCCATGAACCGCATCGGTCAGACATACATGATTGAAGCGATCACCAAAGAGTGTGTGACACCTAGCTCACACGTAGTTCCGCTTTTGCTAGGATCTAGCATGCTCCCAGAGCCGAGGAGGAGGAGCCTTCCAACAAACTTCTTGGAAACGAATCGGGAACTGGCCCGGGAAAGGATGCCAATTCCTCGGGCGTTTGAGCAAGTGGGCCGGCGCTAAGGGATTAAGCTTCGTCGACAACACGTCCGTGCTCTGGAAAGCAGCAACGTTCATTGGCGGCATACTGTTTCTGGAATAGGTTAGATAAGGATGGCCTCAAAAGCACTCGGCTCGGGGCTGAGATGAGCCCGGATCGCTCATCTTGGAATTGATGGCATCTACATAGCTGATCCGAAACAATTATTCTACTGAGGGATTTGTCCACAGTCTCAGTCTCATGTGACTAATCCACTACTCTAGCTTGATTAGCCCATTGGGGTTTCGCAATTTTGAAGAAGAGTGTTTGCTCGATAGAATAGTACAATTTACAGAGATCAGTATGTGTATATTTAGAGTAATACTTATCCTGCGCCATCCCAGGCCATTCATCCACAACTCGGACATTACTATAAGCGGAGTACATTAAATCATTAATCCCACCTAACAGACGATGCCAGAAGGTAAATTCTTTTTGAAGTGCTCCAACGATATTAAGACTCACGGTATTTAGATACCAAAAAGCAATGCAAAGGTCTTATGAATAAGATGGGAAGGCTCCTCTACCGTGAAGAGAAGGCAAATTCCAAGGAGCAAGAATCTGAGCGACTGGAAGATCAACAGGATAATCCGACAAAATCTTGCCAGAAGCAGGAAGATGAGATCCAAAAGGTGAAGGATTATGTCAAGAAAGACGAAGAACTCGAGGAGGGGAGTGAGACCTACGGCGGCTTGATGTAGCAAGTCAAATGCCTTGGTGGATAAATCATGCAGGATACCTCACATATGCTATTCTATATACGGAAAGAGTACAAGGCCAATCAAGAAGAACAAGCATTTAGTGGGGAAACAAAGTTAGCCGCCTTTCCACATGAATTCTTGCATGCATACATTACGTGTTAAGTCAACACGGGTCTACTGAGTCAAGTATATTGCGGATTACTCATGTTCGCTTGCTTGAGCTGGGCTGACATCATATCGTCAAATGTAGAATCTGGATATCAGCTGGAATGAAATGTCATGGACCATATATTACCCACGTAGTCTTCGTTCTTACACCGAAATAAATGCTTTACATCTTAAAGCGAATTATTGAAACGGAAAGAATATACCAACAGTCATCATGACAAAAGACTACACTCTTGCAGAAGGATGTCCCTACCCCAGCAATAACACAAGTGTCCAGATACGGAATGGGTCCGGTGGCGGCCTGGTCCTGCTACAAGATACTCAACTCATCGAAACGCTGGCCCATTTCTCTAGAGAAAGAATCCCCGAGCGGTGAGTGCAAGTAAAGCGCAAATATTGTGCATATTGAGGCTGATGATTTTTGAAGTGTTGTGCACGCAAAAGCGGCGGGGTAAGTCTTCTTGGCCTGTTCTACTTCGACTCAAGTATTCTAACACCCTCGAACAACGAAGTGCATATGGCGACTTTGAGGTAACCCATGATTGCACTGATCTTACATCGGCTAGCTTTCTGAGTGAGATCGGCAAAAAGACAAGGGTTCTCCTTCGGATATCAACAGTCGGACCTGAACGAGGCTCAGCGGATACAGCGCGTGACGTACATGGATGGGCCATGAAGCTATATACTGATGAGGGAAATTTGGACTGGGTATTTAATAACACAGTGAGCCTCTTCCCGTTACAGATCTTGGAGTGACATGTATGAACAAATAGCTTACGGCTCCCGCTCACTGAAGCCTGTCTTCTTTGTCAGGGATCCTATCAAGTTTCCGTCGCTGAATCGGTCACACAAAAGGCATCCTGCAACGAATACCCCTAACGCAGACATGGTAACCACGATCTACGATCTTCAAACAGAGATACGGTCACTAACCATTGTCTAGTTCTGGGAGTGAGTGAATGCAATACTGGTTGGAGTAACGATGGTGTCGTGATATTGACCCCCAGTAGTTTCCACGTGGGCAGCCCGGAAGGAATCCACGAGCTCATTCATTTGTTCAGCGATCGAGGTACACCGGCATCACTTCGTCATATGAACGCCTACAGTGGGCACACCTATAAGTTCACTAAGGAGGTATTTCCCAGACCTCCTTACATCTCTGCGTTCCAAGAAAGGCAAGATAGAGCTGACGATCTATTCGGCAGGATGGGAGTTTCAAGTATATCAAGGTTCACATCAAAACGCAGATAGGAGTCAAGAATCTCAACCGTGAAACCTCCATCAAAATAGCCGGCGAAAATCCTGATTTCTTGGTGGACGACCTTTACCAGGCGATTGAGAAAGGAGACTTCCCTGTGTGGGATGTGTTCGTGCAGATAATGGACCCTAATGAGGCGGAGACATACAAGGTCAATATTTTCGACATGACGAAAGTGTGGTCGCACAAAGACTTTCCCTTGCGCCAAATTGGACGCTTGACTCTGAATCGCAACGTATGTGTCACCATCTGTCCAGCAATATTTCAATGTAACAATTGAAAGCAGCAAGTTAATCCACGTGACTATGTAGCCGCGAAACTACTTCACCGACATTGAACAGGCCGCGTTCTCCCCATCGACCATGGTTCCAGGCTGGGCCCCATCTGCAGATCCAAGTGAGTACTCTTTACCTCCCTCCAGTGGTCTTGAATCTGCTAATTCTACTACAGTGCTTCAAGCAAGAATGTTTGCCTACCCTGACGCGGCCCGGTACCGCCTTGGCGTGAATTACCAGCGACTGCCAACAAATCGCGCGGCTGTGCCTGTCTACAGCCCTTTCCAGCGTGATGGCTTTATGAATTTTACTGAAAATTATGGGGATGATCCTAATTATGTTGGATCTATGTTGCACCCGACGACATTTAGGGCTTCGTCACTTGGGGCTCGCAGCGGTGGAGGACTCAGCACGGTCACCGAGCATGAGAAGTGGGCAGGCGAGGTTTCAAACTTCACTAGTGAAGTTGGGCCCGAAGATTTCGAGCAAGCAACGGCTCTTTGGGAGGTATTAGGTCGAGACGGCAAACACCAGGATCGATTCGTAGGCAACGTCGCGGACCATGTCTCGAAGGTGACCAACTCAAAGCTACGGATGAAGGTTTACGGTACGTATGTCGACATTCTTTACTTTACCAGACCTGACATGATTGCAATCGTAGAACTATTCTCCCACGTCAGTAAGGACCTTGGGAAACGTATTTCTGCAGCAACTGAAGCAGCTCTTTCATAGAATTTGTAGGCAATATATTGGCGGTCCGGCAGAGGCAATTTTCGCAGATCAACGTGCTGTGGCGCTTTAGTAATGCCCCTCAATAGGATCGCCCAATATGCACTGTTGATTAGTGTTACTCTAGCCCTGAGAGTTGGCTTGCCCCTGGTGTTAGCGTGCGTCCGCCTGCAGGCCGGTAAATTCTCGGATGCAGCCGGTGAAAACCTCCAAGCTGAGTTGACTCAAAAAATCAAAGCGACTGTAGTTGAGCGGCGACAGAGGCGGTCTACTAGTACCTGTCAATGCAGAAGTAGGGCATAGAAACCTTGACAATGATGTCATGATAGAACTTTGAGGACTTGACATTGTAGCTGGACTCTGAGGTAGTTGATGGGTCGTTATATTGCTTGCATCTTTGTGTGCGCATCACAACAACATGGCTACTCTAAGAAGGTGATCTCGGTCTCCTTTCACTAAGAGAATTGAGCGCTCTTAGATTGTCTACATCAAGCAAAGCCGAGGTAAACACCATCATCGATCATCTGCAACATGTCGTGGACCGAGCATCCCTTTACCGTTACGATTTCCCTGTACAGCCCCCATTGTCCAATGACGCCGTTTTGCAGGGATTGGGTCTCGAGTGGTAGCGCTCCAAAGCGAGCACTTGGTGGGCAAACAACCAGAAACCAGTGAAACCTTACATCCCTCACGTAAGCCAATCGGCGGCCCAGCCTCTGGCCAACGACATTGGCCCGGTCGGCGAAACCGAGGCGCCTACTCTATTGAGGAACCACCGAGACCATTCCACGACATTCAAACTAACCCGAGGTGGGCCACCTGTATTCTCCATCGTGAAAGTCTTAGTTCTTTACCGATATAATCCTAATGCGTCTTGTTTGAACATTTCAATTCAGCCAGACATACCCACTCTGTGTGTGATTTGCACTTGTTTCTAACTTTAGCAGCACCAAAACCTCCAGGGCGAGCCAAGACTAGCTCAAATAATTGCGGGATGGAAGAAAGAAGTCTGCCACCTGCGAAAGATCCGGTGGCGACTTATCAGGAGGAGGCAGCAGAATTCACATTCGTTCTCAATCAGAATCAAGGTGGCGTCCGAAGCCATGCGATGAGGGAATATTGGAAGCGCAGACGCAGGCGGTCTAGATCCCGAGAGAGAATGGCAATCCCTCATCGTCCCCGCCCACTCCTGCCCAATACCCAGGATCATACACAAAGCAGCATGTCTATAACGGGCAATGATGTCGTTCATTCGTCTTTGAGCCGGGATCAACGTGACAAAGCAGATCATCCTGAGAGTGGACAGTCAAGGGTAGGGACTGACGAACTAGCTGCATTGGCCGGAGTTCCAGCCCAGCTTCTCACTGGAGTTGATCACGCTCTTGCATGCAGTCGGCTGGATCCGTTCGACATGTTTCCGGTGTTTTTGACAGTCGAGCATCACAAACTCCTTCATCACTGTGAGTAATAACCATCCCTGAGGTGCAGAAATAATTCCTGTTGGAGTGACGGTGCCCTGATCCATTAAGTAGGGCTCAGCACTCATGCCACCATGATGTTCACGCAACTACCTACGGCGAGATTCAATCCGATGCGGGATGTCTGGTTTCCATTGGATCTCTCAAACGCCGCGTCTTTCAACGCGATCATGGCTCATGCAGCGGCACACCTAGCCAGGTTGCATGGCATCAAGACTTCGAAGGAAGCATTCAAGTACAAAGCTGAAGCTGTCCGAATAGTCAGACTCTGGATGAGTGATCCACATTTTGCTCTAAGCGATGAGGTGTTTGCTGCTGTCATACGTCTCCTGACATTTGAAGTGAGGCCAATCTTCCATTTGCATATCCATCCTAGCTAGTGATTGACGTCTAATGAATCATTGTAGAGGTATTGGGGCACAGATAGTGAATGGAAAGTCCACCGTGATGGACTTCAACATATGATCGAAGCCCGTGGTGGTATTGCAGGATTACAAAGTAATTGGCGACTGGAGCTTGTCGCGTACCTGTATAGTCTCCCCGACTTCATCTACTTAAAGTGCATATCCCCATAAGGAGTCTAACACGAAGAACAGTGTCTCGCTAATGGCCAAGCCATCATGGTTTGAGAGTTCAAACAACATTTTAGAATTATCTGAACAGCCGGTGTCAGCCAACATGCACCCACTGGGTAGTTTGGAGAATCTCCAACGTGTTCGCGGTCTCTGGCTCATATCTTTCATTCAAGATATGGGTACCTTCACGAGCAACTCCCCTGAGCTTCGTTTACATGGGCTACGGCAATATCCCAATGTTCTAGATGCGATATTGCTTCTACAGGCTGACATGAAACGTTACACACTCGACTCCTACCAAGAAGAAGCATGCACCTCTTCAGAGTTCGCGCGTTTGTGGTGTTTATTTTTCATCAGCGTACTCATACAAGCTTCTGGGCAGCAATACTCGGACGCGGTCCCACCAGCCAGTGTCGCCACAGCCCCGAACAGTCCAGATAATCTTGCCACCGTGAATGACTTTCTACAGATCCAGAATATTTGGGCGGGAACGGTGGAACAACTTTTTTCATCTCTGTTCAATGACTTTAACGAAATCCCGGAAAGTACACGAGTGAAGGAATATGTATTCCAGATAACGAACGTGCTATCATCGCTCAGTTGCGAAGCTCGCCGAGGGGTAGAGAAGTGCCTTTTACTCATATTGGGAAATATTGGAAGTCATGGGACTTCGCTTGATGACTATTGTACACCGGATACCTTGCTATCATCATTGCATGGATTGTAGCAAGCTTAGGTAGAAGTTACAAGGCACCTATTCAGCTTGCAATTAACATTGCGTGGTTGAGGTCAGCGTGATATTTGATTGCTACCGGTACGAATAGGTCTGTTCATGCAAGAGCAAATAACAGTAACCGGTCATGTATGTCGAGCGCAAAGGATGTGCGGCGATACCAGTAGGTGGTGGGGTGATCCATTAGGGCCTAAGTAATAGTAGAGAATACCTAAGTGAGCGTACAGTTTTATATATATATGTAACCCAAAGTGAACCCATGAAGGGCCCAGCCAAGCATGAGGAGCAGAGGATATGTGGGTTTGGTATGATATCATGGTCTGAGGAACATCAATAAACCCTAACCACTCAAGGGTCAACCCTATTCAACAAAGTTATATTTACTAGCCACGTCGATTGTGCCCGTTTCGTCATTTTCGAGAACGGTCTCTACGTTTCATGCGCGCTCTAAAACACCTCTGGTGACCTTGGAGGTTGAGCTCATGTCTTGTATCAAATAATTCAGGAGCAGGACGTCCAATAATTTTCCACGGTCTCTACCCCTATAATCCAATCATTATGAAGTAAATCAACAATCAAAGAGCCCTTGCTCCTGATTTACCGACCCCGTGCAAAACAAAAAGGCGCCGTTATTGCAAGTTGCTGTGGTTTCGGCTTGAATCTCATTCATAGCAAAATAGTTAGCACTGTTCAAAACGTCGCACGGACCAAATTTCTTGTAGGTGCCGACTGAAAATGACTATTGTCGCTTGGGTATTAGTGTGCTTGTCATCGCGGTCTGCGAACCAATCAGATAAAAAACCGAGATTTAAATGCATAGGCTTGACCCAAAGAAGGATTATACGAGTTTCTCAAGTCCGATCGGTGGCAATCGACTCATCAATAAATAATTCTGGGTTCCCGTGTCTAACAGTTTACACAACACTTTGACCATCCAAGAAAGCGAAGACCCTGAGAGACACAAAAATGGCATCAAAAAACATTCCACAGCTCAGAACGCCGCCGCTCTACCGCATTTGGTTCACCTGGATCGACCCTATGCTTTCTCTCCTGGGTGCCTTTGGTGGGCTCTTTCAGCCTCATCTCCTTCTCTCCCACATTCCCGCTACGATTTCCAATCCGAACGTAGATCCAGCTGCTGCACCAAACGATCCCTCACGCCTAATGCCCAATCCAGACACTAATATCAACCCCGCACAAGCTTTGGTTTTCAACCAGTTCGGCGCATTCTGCATTTTCACATTCTTGCTCAGCATCTTCCTGCTCCGCTCTACCAACGACCTATCAATCTGGAAGACGTATCAGGGCTCTAAGTGTGTGGCCGACATCATCGTTGTAACACTCATTGTATTGGAGTACCTGCGCCAAGGCCGACTCAGTCCCTCACTATGGACATTCGACGACTGGTTCTCCTTGCCAATCACAGCCTGGTGTGCTGTACTTCGCGCTAGCTTTGTGCTCGGTGTTGGTTTTGATAAGAAGCGAAAATCAATTTAAAGTGGAGCTTGGGAAGTTCACGATGAATTGTGAGCTTTGTTACCTGGAAAAAGTGTGAGGACTTGATCGAATTGTGGATAAGATATCAGTGATAGGTTGGAAAGGATAATTTGTAATGGCTAGAAGAATGAAGTTAGTCAGTGATCATTGTCTTCTGGAGATCAATAAAGTGAGCATAAGCATAGCCTTAATTCCAGTCTTGGCCTCGTTAAAGTAGCGAGTTCAGTGTATATGACCATTTCAATGATCCACGACGCGAATACTGCTCTTAGGTGCTTGTATCTTCGAGGACTATCACGTATCATCAAAACAATGATAGTCAAACATATTAGGGCATCATTTGATGAGACTTTATCAGCCTCTCCAGGTTATTGTTTCAAGTTATCAAGTTTTGACAAGTTTGGAATGAGAAAAGACCTTTGTACTCGATAGATAGGTCTGAGAAACAAAATCAGTTGAATATGATATCAATCGTAAGACATGATGTATCTATCTACAGCTTGGCCCTTTCATCAAACTTCCAGTCACTTGGGGCTGCCATTACCTGCTTCTTCCAGTTTCTCGGCCCCGCCTCTCCCTGTTCAAGGCCGTTTTTTTGGACCGCTTGTTTTCGTCCTCCACTGCCATAGCTTGGCGATCGTGCTCTTCTCTCTCGGCTTCTCAATTATATTTACGACCTCTCTGCCGAGGACAGGCAAGAATTTGAAACCATGACCGGAACCTCCAGAGCACACCATCATGCCTTCATCGCCGGGTACACGGTCAATGACAAAGTTGGTATCGAGACTGTCGGTGTACCAGCAATTCCTGCAACCCGCAATGCCAAGCTCCGCCAACTCGGGTAGTGCATCTCGCACAACGCTCTTGATGGCCTCCACGGCTTGCTTTGTTATAGTCGGCTCGGAGGGCTCGGGCCAATATTTGGTCTTGGGAACGCTGATGCGGTGTTTTGTCCCAGTCGTCTTCTCCTCGACATCCTCGTAGTTGGTGTATTTGACTCCTCGGTAGCCGATCTTGACGATACCGTCTGCGGTTCGAGGAAACCCGCCAATACCAAGCCCCTTCGTCCAGCCTCCGTAAGCGAAGACGGGAAAGTTCCCAGGCGAGAAGCGGTCCCAGAGATGAGGGGCCTTGTCTTTGGGAGGCAGTTGGAAGTATGCTACACTCCCAACGGTTGTCTCCAGCATTGGGGATATTGCCGGAAAGAGATATGGTGTCCAAGGCCCGGCTTAGATTTTGTCAGTGTTTGTTCCGTACGACGATGAGTGCCGGACGGATTTCAACATACCGGCCAGAATCAGAAATTCTGATCGATGCTCTTTACCATCCTTTGTTCTTATTCCGACAGTCTTTTCCCCGGCAGGAGATTTGAGGAAAGCAGAAACCTGGCCTTCCCTCTCGTCCAGCACAAAACGCACGCCACACAGACGGCAGAGATGCATCACCCAGATACAAGCCTTGCTAGCGTCGACGTAGCCGGCGGTTGTGTCAAAGACACCTGTGAGGCTTTTGCCCTGCTTCTGGCGGTTGAACGGATCCCGCTTCCTCTCCCATTCTCCCTTCTTCTGGAAGTAGAACGTCGCTCTCTTTTCATCATCCTGGTTTCCGATCACGAACTGAGTGGATCGCAAGCCTTCCTTCGTGATCTTTCGCAAAGTTGATTCTTCGAATGGGCTCAACGCACCATCGGTGCTCATACGAAGAAAGCCGCAGTTGTCCCATACCTTGTCCGATGGCCTAAGAGGACGAGGCGGATCTTGTAGTACTGATGATGATATCTGCTTGTTCCACACGTTCCAGACCTGGATGGCATCCCAAGCGAGGCGCTGATAATCGAGTTCGTCACCATAGCTCATACGCATGACCTTGTTCCAGTCAGCACTAGCCGCATCGGCACCATCTGCGGTAGAGTAGGCATTCTTATCATAGGGCTGTTTATCGAAGACTGTTATGTTGCTGTACCCGGTCTGTGCCAAGTGCAAGGCGCTTTAGCCCTTCATTCCTTGTTAGTGATGATGAAGTTACTAGACGCCGAAAAGGGCGCAACTCATTGCGACGCACCTCGAAAGACCGAACGCACCTGCACCAATAACAATGATGGAGCTCTGCTTAGATAATTGAGTCGAAGCCATGTTGATTCCGTCTGGTATTTTCCATGCTGCACCAATAAATGGACTGATAGTATTGTTATACCTATACCGTAAAAATGTATTCCAGCGCGCGCAACGATATCCCCTTCCGGCGAGGTCTTGATCGGCCCATCCCCAAGCGCACAGGAAAATCCCGACAGCTCGGACATGAGCCGTAGCAGTGTCCGGCCTATTCCCGCCTTCCTACCCTTCTTATCTTATTATACCCCATATCTGCTATCTGCCCCATATTAGCCCCATGAACGATTACTCCGCACAACTGATAGGAGGTTGACTGATGAGATGCTCCTACCTCAATTTTAAGTTCCTGGAACATGACTGTTACGGAGTTCTTATCTCGTGCATATTTGGGTTGAGTTGTATATATTTTCTATCCCTATCTTCCCAACTGATATGGTATGACCAGCATACTGCATTTATTCTGGCGGTAAATCAACCCCTTGCGACACTTTCCTAATTACCCACCCTGTTGGCGAGATAGGAAGATGAGGTTCTTTGGCAAGAGGAGGGGGCAGTCTAATCCTCAAGATGAAGCTACTTCTGATGTCAGAGAAGCTATCATCAACGAGAAGACCAACGACAATTTCTTTTTTTGGACACGTCCCGGGACCGCTAGAGAAGAGGTAAAGCTTGTCCGCAAGCTCGACCTTGCCATTCTATCCTTCTGCTGCCTGACATTTTTCGCCAAAGACCTCGACCGAAACAACATCAACAACGCCTATGTCTCAGGCATGAAAGAGGACTTGAATCTCTACGGCAACGAACTTAACTGGATGGTCACCTGGTTCCAGGTTGGCTATATCGTCGGCCAAATCCCTTCCCAGATTCTCTTAACTAAGGTTTCTCCACGATGGTACCTACCCGCCGCTGAGTTTCTTTGGAGTGTCTTCGTTCTTTTCATTTACAAGTGCAAGACTGTCGAGCAGATCTACGCTTTGAGATTCTTTGTGGGCTTTATCGAAGCAGCGAGCTGGCCGGGTCTTCACTTTATGATTGGCACTTGGTACACAAATCACGAGATAAATAAGCGCAGTGGAATCTTCACTGCCTCCGGTATCGCCGCCACAATGTTTTCTGGTTACATTCAGGCCGGTATTTACGAGACCATGGACGGCCACCTAGGGCTTCGTGGGTGGAGGTGGCTCTTCATCATTGGTAACGATGACTCCTTTCTTAGTATTCGAGAGGATAACGATCGCTAATATTCACAAGATTTCCTCATCACCTTCCCTCTTGTCCTGCTGGGTTTACTTATTGTACCCAACCCGCTGTACAAGAAGAAGACATGGTGGATGACGGAGAGAGAACGTCAAATGTGCATGAAGCGCCTTGAGGCAGATGATCGCAAGCCGCTCGGCAACTTCGGCATGTCCTTGTTTAAGCGCGTCCTCGGGAGGTGGCACTTCTGGATTTTGGTACGCAGTTAACCCGCGATACTGAAGCTGCGTTGGCAAAAGAGACATGGAGCTTGCTGACACCGTTTCTCCTTCAGTGCACATGGTTTTCCCTCATGTACTTCGTCTACCAGGCTCCAACAACGTCGACCATGGCACTCTGGCTCAAGGCGGAGAAAACGTACTCAGTGCCGCAGATTAATAACTTGCCTACCGTCTACTCAGCCATCTCCATCATCTTCATGCTCGTCTCCGGCACTTACAATGACTGGCGTGCCTCGCAGATTGACTCGGTTATCGCCATTTGTCTAACTCAGATCATCTCCGAGTCCATTCTTGTGGCATGGACTGTTCCCAAGCCCGCGAAGTTCTTTGCCTACTATATCGCCGGAACAATCCAGTCCCTGTTTCCAATCATTGTCAGCTGGACACACATGGTCTGCTCGGGTGACGCTGAGGAACGTGCCATTGTCATTGGAAGCCTGAACGCCATTGGATTAGGTCAAGGGACATGGTGGAATCAGGTGAGTCTTTCTCTTTCAACCTATGTCTTGCCTGTTTACAAATGTTGACGATAAGAATTAGGTATTCGTCGCGACTGTTGATGCGCCCCGATTCTACAAAGGTTACAGAGCCGGCCTTGCCGCCTCCCTTGCTCTGTTTGCATGGCTACCTGTTGTCATATGGTTTACACGTAGACAGCGGAGGCAAGGAGAGGCAGCAATCCTTCATGGCCGGCCGAACCTCAGCGTCGGAGCTGAAGAGGATAGTAATACGATAATTTCTGACCAGGTCAAGGCGAAGAACGAAAAGGCAGATATGACTGAGCTCCAAGAGAAAGCGGCTGATACTGGAATTGTGATGTAAACGGACTACCATAGAATTCAGAAGGATAGAGGTGGAAGAGTGAGAGAACACTGGACCTATTGCTGCATATCTTTCTAGTCTCGTCATTTGATGAAAATTGGACTGTGTTTCTTTATCCGAGCGCCCGTGGAAGTCTGGCACAACTAACTTGTCTCCTCAGGCTTCTAGATGATGCTATGTTTCCACTACAATGCTATTTCGATTGTCCTTGTTTGAACAAGAATACAGATCTTTCCTATACGTTATATAACCTATCTCTACATTTCGATCAGCTCTCTAAGAGATGACTAGCACTAGACTGCGTCATTGCAAAGATTGCGCCACAACTGAACCTAGCTAATTACTGGCAGCACCAAGGCAATTCATATTCATATCAATCTAACGGGAATAAATTGCAGAATCCATATAATCTAGTGAACCGAGGGTTATCCAGCCGGCGCCTAAGGTTGTAAAACGTGACTGTGAGGACTTTGGGCTTCCTAGTCATAAGGTTGGGCAAGGGTCACTTGGCAGATACTGGTGCGACTTGACTGAGTCAGGAGAACCCCAACGCATCTAGTGTCAATGTTCCATCCGGATGATTAAGACCAATGTTGTGACCTGCATCGTAAAGCGAAGCAAACTACACTGGTCAGAGCAATGTAGCACAGAATCTCAAGCTTCAAACTAACTATTATCTTCAAGCAACGAGCTATAGATGTCTCCCCTGCCCGTATAGTCCTCCCATTCAGCCGCCATGCTCAAGAACTGAGCAAACTCAAAGGGCTCATCTGGAAATAAGCTCATCGGTCCGTCCGTATGCCAACCCGTAGATGGGAAGGAAACGAGGTCTTTCAGCGCGTCAATTTCAGTTCCCAACGCAAGAGGCTTCTGAGCAACACCCGCGCCACCATTCTTATCCCAGTCGAGCAGCCACTTCATTGTGATTGACGAGAGCCTCTCAAAGGCGTCCCTGTAGCCGCCCGCATCGGCGAACCGCTCAGCAAGGGCCGTGAGCGTGCTCGCGCAATCCTGACTGGCGGACATGACATCCACTATGGAGGCGGCAGTACGCACGTCAACAGACTCCCATATGCAGTACAGCATGGTGAGACCGGAGAGAAACAGGTGGTGCACCCAAGCCCAAATTATGCTGACTCGGCCTTCCCGCTGTAGCGTCTTAATGGCCTGGATGGATCTGCGTGCAGTGTCAAAACATATTTGCCAGGATTCCGTCGTGGGACATGGCACGAGAGGGTTTGGTCTATGAAGAAGCAGCATGGCGTTGCAGTGGTGAGCTTCCCACCAGCTCTCCATCGAGTAGATGCTCTCTTGGTGGTCGATCCCGTTTAACATTGGGACTTCGTCTCGCCAACTACGCAACCGGCTCAGGATGTCCCGGAACCACAGAACGTAGTTCGCGCGTGGGTATGCGAGAGAGGAAGATCCTTGGAGCTGGTGATACAGGACGTGTTTGATCTCCGATTCCAGCCTGTAAAGCTCGACTACGTGATTTGCGCAGCGTTGGTGGAAAATATCTGTCCTTATAATATCTGCCGGTCCTGGTACCTCTTCTTCGAGATGAGGGTCTGGAAATCCAGGATTCATGCTGAGCTCTGCTATCCCAAACGGCCTCCCGAGTGTAATGACCAGGAAGCGATCCAGACGGTAGATGGCCCAGTATAGCAATCGCCGCTGGTTCAAGAGAGTTCGTGGCAAAGACAGCACATGGTTGGTCTCCCAATGTAGCCCCAGATCCACCGCGAGACGGAGCGCAATCCCAGTTAGCTGCCACAAGCTTCCTTGCGATGGGTTTAGAGCGATGTAATGAGCAAGGAGTAGAACCACGGTGAGCGTCTCCAGATTGCTCGGCGAGTAAGCTAGAAGCTTCTCGACGCAATGCAGGGCTGCATGAAAGCAGCCCTCGCTCTGAGACGGCCTCCCTCCTCCAACGATAGGCATGCGGTGGAGGCCAACGGCAAAGACCATATTGGCAACAAATAGATCATATTCTGGAATAGCGCCCAAGCTCCCAGATGATTCCCAAACTCCATATACACGGTCGATGACTGGCTGGGCTCTGAAACGCTCCAAGACAGGCACGTGTGGGGTCCGGTAAGAGAAGTAAACCCAAAGAATATGCTGTGCCGCGTGACGCGGGGGGAGAGAAGTCACCTGCACTGTAGGTGGCACGGAGGTCCTAGAAGGTCGCCTCAGTTGTCCTTGTGTGTCATAATTCGTAGTCAGAGGATCGTGTTTGATTGCAGCGAAGACCATTTTGGCAAATGTGGCGCCACTACTCGTTCCCATAAACCGAGGCTGGTTGCTGCTTTCTAGTAAGACCAATCCCATGGATTTGACCATCTCTTGAGGATCTGAAGCAGCCGAGTCCACGGTGGTGGCCGCGACAGGACTGACATCCGCAGGCCTTTCAGCCATAGTGGTCTCACTGGGGGAATGAACGATGACGTTGGGAACATTGCTCTTCTTCTTCTTCTTCAACTCTTCTACCTGAAGTTTAAGTTCTCTGACCTGGCTTTCGAGTGTCGAAATGTAGCCCCGCGGGATCTCAGTCTGTTTCTCAATGTCGTACGTCAGAGGTGATGCGTGTGCAGCCTCACATGTCGTGCACTTTGGATAGCGTAGGTCACACTAGGCAGAGAACAGAGACACACTCAGCATTCAAAGATTAATGATTTTGATTACAGGGTAGTAGTAACAGACCTTTTGTTTCCTTCTCCGGCATCGCTGGCATGCCTCTACTCAGACCAAAGCCGTTAGAACCTAACGGACAGTAATAGTAATTGGACAAGTGTGTTGGAATCTACGAGAACTTCTCCGCAGCCTTGCTTCAGTCACGCTGCTTGCTGGAGGCTGTAGCTCCAGGTTGCTCTCCATGACTTCGAAATTTACGAATCCTCGTCCAGCGACCAAGACGACAGGTCCAGAGATTAGCGATAGCTAAGCCTTGCCCTAGTCTAGATCAGACGACTCTCGAGAAGTATCTAAAATTTTGAATGAAGCAGAGCCATCTATCACCCCATCCGAGCGGGGATTTGATATGCCAAGGGTAGTCGTGTTCTAATGTATAGGAAAATACCGATAAGTCGCCGGAAGAGGGAGAACCACCGTTCCTTATCAGCAAGGGCAATCAACCCCACAGATCCCACTCCTTTCGCAGGCATCGGGATTCGCCGATGACGATCTTCTAGTTATATGGTGATCGCCTCGTGATCCGGCATATACACCATAACCTGCTCGGCTACACAATTGTCCATATTATAATGAGCGTTTTATGAATAAGTGTTACGACGTGCTGAAAAGCAGGGAAAGAGCCAAGCTGACCCCATCGCGACAGATTTACGCCAAGACAACACACATCCCTAAGAACAACTTATGGTGGGATACGTACATCTGACTTGACCCCCTTCACTATGCCGCATAGTTTAGGGTATACTGAAGTAGAGGAGGCGCCAAAGATAGATATTTTTATCGACGTGAGTAAGGAGATATGATAGAAAATGCGATCGTGCAACAACTAACAGAACGCCCAACAGCGGGGTGGTACCTTCACTGATTGTATCGGCATCCCCCAAGCCGCCAAACAGGATGACATTGTCGTCAAATTGCTGTCCGTGGATCCCTCAAACTATCCAGATGCTCCCACGGAAGGTATTCGTAGGATTCTGGAGAGGTTCACCGGGCAGCCTCATCCAAGGAATGCTCCGGTCAGCGCAGAAAGAATCGGTGTCATTCGAATGGGGACGTGAGTGTTACGCTGAATTTCAGACCGTGTGAGTACCAAAGTTGCTAATCAGCCAACCAGGACCGTTGCGACCAATGCGTTGCTTGAGAGAAAAGGAGCACGCTCGGCGCTGCTCATCACCAAAGGCTTCAAAGATGCCTTGAAAATCGGCTATCAGTCACGCCCAAAGCTATTTGATCTTGCCATCAAGAAACTAGAAGTTCTGTACTCGGAGGTTGTCGAAGTAGATGAGCGAGTGACCATGGAGGACTCTACCAAGGATCCATCTCTACCAGGCGCAATCAACACTGCATCGGATCCTGCTCTCAGAATTGGTCGAAGTGGCGACATCATCCGCATCTTGGAGCCGTTGAACATGAAAAGCACCCGGAAATCCCTCAAATGTCTGCGCCAAAAGGGCTTCGAGAGTATATGCATTTGTCTAGCGCATAGCTACAGTTTCCCAGATCACGAAAATACCATTCGCGACATGGCACACGAGATGGGTTTCAAAAGTATCTCCACATCATCCAATTTGATCCCTATGATCAAGCTAATCTCACGGGGCATGAGTGCCACTGCCGATGCATATCTGACCCCTGAGATCAAGAAATACATTTCCAATTTCCGCAAAGGGTTTAAGGGTGCTTTGCAGGACACCCGTGTCCAGATCATGCAATCCGATGGTGGTCTAGTTGATGTCTCAGCCTTTTCTGGCCTGAGAGCTATCTTATCAGGTCCAGCAGGGGGCGTGGTCGGCTACGCTAAGACGAGTTGGCATCCCGATGACCGGGTGCCCGTCATTGGATTCGATATGGGCGGCACATCTACAGACGTGAGTCGGTATGGCGGCGATCTAAGTCACGTTTTTGAGACGACCACGGCTGGAGTCACTATCCAGTCTCCTCAGCTTGACATCAGCACAGTAGCAGCAGGTGGTGGCAGCATTCTTTCCTGGAAGAATGGCCTCTTCGCTGTTGGCCCGGAGAGTGCATCTGCTCATCCAGGTCCTGCCTGCTACCGCAAGGGTGGTCCGCTCACTGTAACAGATGCTAATCTCTTTCTGGGCCGTATACTTCCCGAATACTTTCCCTGTATCTTCGGACCCGACGAGAATCTTCCACTTGATTATGAGATTGCTAAAAGCAAATTCTTAGAGCTGAGCAAGACTATTAACGCTGAGACTGGCGACCACAAGACTGCTGAAGAAGTCGCCTTAGGTTTCTTGGCCGTCGCTAACGAGGCCATGTGTCGCCCGATCCGGGCCTTGGCTGAAGGCAAAGGCTATGAGACATCGGCCCACCGACTCGCCGTCTTTGGAGGCGCCGGTGGACAGCATGGCTGCTCGATTGCTAGGCATCTCGGCATCGACACGGTCGTCATCCACAAGTACTCGAGTATTCTCAGTGCATATGGCATGGCACTTGCAAATGTTGTGGAAGAGGTCCAGGAGCCTTGTTCCATGATTCTAAGCGATAGCTCAAAAGATGAGATTAACACGAGATTCGAGTTATTGAAGTACCTTGCGGTGAAGGGACTGCTCCAACAGGGCGTATCCTCGACAGATAACATAGAGATACAACCATTCCTCAATCTCCGGTACGAAGGCACAGACACTCAGATGATGGTGACACTGCCAAGCGACGGTGACTTCAAAGCTGCTTTCGAGCGGCTCCACTTTCAAGAGTTCACTTTCCTACTCCCATCTCGGGAAATTATGATTGACGATATACGCGTACGAGGTATTGCAAGAGATTACGAGCGCCCTACGCCAAATTTGTACAAGGAGCTCTCAGAGGCGGTAACTTCCCATACCGCGAACCCCAAGAAGACGAAGCTGGCATATTTTGCAGGTTGCGGGTGGATGGATACACCGACTTATATGCTTCGAAGCTTGCAAGCTGGCAACCAGATCCGGGGGCCCGCCATCATCATCGACAACACACAGACCATCATTGTGACTCCCAACTCGTCCGCTCAAATTTTGAACGAGCATGTGGTATTACATGTTTTGTCCGAGAAATGTTCAACCAATGGAAAGAGCGGGCGACAATCGTCAAGCCTACTACTAACCATTGAGACTGATCCAGTGAAGCTATCCATTTTTGGACACCGTAAGTGTTGTTCATGTTTCATATTGACGATACAAATCAGAACGACTCACCTAATGACCAAGAGTTTATGTCAATCGCCGAGCAAATGGGCCGAACACTGCAAAAAACGGCTGTCAGTATCAACATTAAAGAAAGGCTAGATTTCTCGTGTGCCATATTCGGACCGAGCGGAGACTTAGTTGCAAACGCACCGCGTACGCCTCCTACTAGTCCATTAAACTAAGATCAATGGCTGAATTGTTGCAGACGTCCCCGTTCATCTGGGAAGCATGGCATATGCTGTGAAGTACCAACACCAACACTACGGCTCAGCACTAATGCCAGGAGACGTTTTAGTATCGAATCATCCCATCGCCGGCGGCACTCATCTTCCCGATATCACTGTCATCACACCAGTTTTTGACACCACCGGGAAAAACATCATCTTCTACACCGCGTCGCGTGGTCATCACCGAGACATCGGCGGCTATCAGGGCATCTCAGGGAATGCAAATGCGACTCACCTCTTCCAGGAGTGTGCGAGCATTGTCAGTTTCAAGCTCGTTTCGAATGGTGTATTCGATGAGGCTGGCATGCGGGGGATTTGATCGATGATCCGGGGCGGTATCCTGACTGTGTAGGCACATCGGGCATCTACGACAACCTTTCAGATCTCCGTGCTCAGGTTGCGGCCAATGCCAAGGGCGCAGCACTCATCCGGACAATGTTCGAAGAAAACCCTAAAGAAGTAGTTCAGGTAAGACATGGGTCACTGATGAACTCTCAGTTGAGGAGCGCTCGTTGCTGACATGTATTTTACGAAACAGTTCTACATGGACAAGATCCAGGCAAACGCCGAGGTTGCCGTTCGCAAGGTTTTACAAGAGACTGCTTGCAAGCTCGATGGTCGCACTCTTGGGGCAGTGGATTACCTCGATAATGGCAGCCGTATTCAATTAGAGATCCGGATCATTGAGGATGGGAGTGCAATTTTCGATTTTACAGGAACAGGTCCAGAAGTCATTGGGAACAGCAATGCGCCCAAGAGTATCTGCCTCTCTGCCATCATTCACTCCCTGCGGTGTCTGATTAACGAGGAGATCCCGCTCAATCAAGGCTGCCTATCTTCCATAGAGGTCGTAAATCCCGAAGGAAGTATTTTGAATCCATCAGAATGTGCTGCCGTCTATGCTGGAAACACACAGACAAGTCAAAGGATTGTCGATGTCATTCTCAAAGCATTCGAGGTGAGCCTCATTTACACTGAAAGGTGGAATATTAGATTTAACACAGAATATGGTGTAGGCTTGTGCTGCTAGTCACGGATGTATGAATAGTGTAGGGTTTTTTGGCGGACGGAACGCGAACGACGGCAATGGATACCGCTTTGCCTACGGCGAGACAATATGCGGAGGATCCGGAGCCGGTAATGGCTGGGATGGTGCTGAGTAAGTTCATCTCCCATTTTGAATATCGAATGGATGCGCTTTGGGACTAATGTGACTTTGCCAGCGCTGTACATTGTCATATGACCAACACACGAATCTCAGATGTTGAGATCCTCGAGAAGCGATACCCCATCATCCTGAGGGAGTTCTCGGTCCGTAGCGACTCTGGTGGGAAAGGCCGACACAAGGGAGGTGAAGGCGTCAAGCGCGTCATTGAGTGCAGAGATCCATTAACTTTCTCCATGATATCAGAGCGGAGGGTGACACGGCCGTATGGTCTCAAGGGCGGCGACGATGGGGCTCCAGGGGAGAATCTGATCTCGAGGAAAATCAGTGCCGGGAAGCGGAGAATAGTTAGCCTTGGCCCGCGCGGACTTGTGAATTTGGAGCCTGGGGACCAGTTTATCATCAAGACCCCGGGAGGTGGTGGCTGGGGTAGGAAAATTACAGATGGGGCTGTCAATGACTGTTCGACAATCAACGGAACGTCGACCCAATAAAGCCACTCGACTGAAGCGTCTCTTAGCCCGAGTTGTAAGGTCAGATAGGGACACCAGAACCGTAGATAGTAGGCAGAGTCAGTATCGTGGTGGTCGAAGTAATTCTGGAAGCCAGAAACTCGATAGTTGGAGGCAGCACCGTTGATGGGCAGTACGGGTGCCAGAGAAAATAGTGCTAGTGATGGCGGTGGAATAAAGCTTTCCAATGGTATACATAAAGGAGAATTGTATAAGGACAACGAGAAAGAAAATCATCCGGTGCCTGAAATCTCTTGCCAAGCTGTCGAAATAGGGCAGCAGTGTCTGCTGCTGACCAACACCCTCTCAAGATTTCGCATAGCACACACACACACAAAAATTTTCCTAGGCATGAGAACGTACTGAAAAATGAAGGGCTAACCATTTTTTATTGTCTGTAATAATAGCTAACTGAAGCGAGTGAAAGGGAAGTAAGTAACAGCGAATAAACGACCCGACTACTTGTAGAAAAAAGACTTTGCTCCCCCAGCGCACAACGAGACAGCCGTGGTTGCGCGATGTAGCAGGAATATGAAGGATTTCAAGCCACCTGATATGGTAATATCCTTCCGAGATCGTGTTTCGTGGAAACGAGACAACAAACTTTGCAGGAAGCAAATATCTTGTAACGACTGCATTAGTGCTCATCATTTCCGATATTATGTTGGGACCGGAGCTGAATCCACTTTTCCGACTTGTCAAAATTCGTTTTCTGGGGCATGCGAGCGTGCGACCATGCGTCCGTCAGGCTTGTTCAAGTCATTCGAGCCAGCTAGTGGTCATATTACAATATCAACTACCTTGACACTGTTGCAACTTTGAATAAAGTTTTGTTTCTCAGGGATCGCGTTCACTACTTTCGAAGTCGACCAGAACATTGATAGTCCGTCTAATGTTGTCGCTGATTCCGGCAGTACGATTAGCATTAGCGAGGAGCAGTTGCAGTCAGTACAGTTGGCTCGTTCCTCCCTAACAGAGATCAATTTCATCAACCTTGGCAGCACCAAGTCTGCCTTTATGGAATAGACGTCACCTTTTAACCGAAATTGACTTTGCCAATTCCTCTATTCTTCCATAAATGAGAACTTTGAATAATCTTGATCTACTTTACTTTTGTGGGCTAGATACCAACGCCACTCACTGTCGGCCATCATCAATCCACCACATCCATAATATCCGCTATACTTAAACAATCCTCAACAATAGTAAATGCTAATCTGCTGTGGTAAGACGACTTTCTAAAACTACTGTGTTGGCTAGTTACGAGTAGAACCGATGATCAGCAACAGCATATTGAGTATCTATTCCAAGATTGATATTTACTCCAGTGTCATTGTCAACAGAAATTCTAGTACAAACAGCACTGCACTTTACTACAGTATAAATGCAATGCAATGCAATAGTTATGACGCATTCAGTCATCAATCACGATCACAACCGGGCTTGGGCGTCGCAGCCTTTTTAGAGCCCGTTGATATGCAACAATTCTCTCCATGTTCACTTGTTCGATCGAAGCGATCCTTGAGTCTAGACTCAGTCGTTCGTGTTTGTAATCGTGTACCTGGCCTTTTCTCGTATCGTTCTTGAACATGTCGCTTATTTTGTCAGATTCGAGGCTTCCTGGTACGCCCAAGTGTCTCAGAGAGAGCTCGAACAGCTTGGACTGCAACGTTGCAGAGGTGCAGCTCAGGATATGGACCAATTCATCCACCAGGAGCGGGCACTGGCGCACACGACATCTGTATAGGAGCCTCGACCAATGCTCTGACATGTGCACAATGAACCGAGCCAGTGCTTTTATCAGAGTCTCACGTATGGGTGTGCTACGAGGCGGTGGTGGCGATGCGAGAAGTTTTGAATCAGGAAAACGCGAGAACCACCTTAGGTTAGCATCCTTAACAGCTCGATTGCTACCAAGGGCTTCCTTCAGTATGTAAAATGTCTTGTCGATGGAACTCGGGGAGCACGCCATATGCCTGTCTACCCTTCGTTTCCCTCCTTCGTAGCTCCGCAGACAGAAGAGCTGATGTATAGTAAGATAGAAGGCATCCTTGTTCCCGCTTGCTTCTGAAGCAAGATTGAACCGGAGGTTCTCAACATGAGACAAACTTTGAAAACCAGAAGCCCTCATTTGTCTCGTGATGAATCTTAGATACCTCTTCCAAAGGTCATCATAGGATGAGCTGAGCATAATTATCAAGTTAGAGGTAAAGCCTTGGTCGAAAGTGCAAAGAACAACGTCAGTACCTGTGAGTCCCCTTTACTCCTAGTTTGCTTTTGAGACCCACGCTTTGCGAGTAGAGATGAGAAGGTTGAAATTCAGTGGATTGATTACTGCACGTCTTATACAATGCGTATTCTCCCCGGGTTATACTTGTCGGGAGTGGGATTGTATTTGAAGAGGTCGCCGGCAAATTTGCGGGGCCGCCGGCCGGCAATATCGGCTGAAATGGCGAAGCTCGCCTTTATAAATTATTTGCTTGTCAATTCCACACAGAAATTTGCATGACATGTAGACTTCAAATATCTGAAAGGGGGATATAACTAACATGACAGGGAAAAGTTGAGTTGGGTTGATCATTCTATGCGAGGTTGATGGAATGATAGGTTCGCGTACTCCTGAATCTGGTGCGCTAGGTTTCTTATGAGGCGACGACCTGTCAAACAATGGTCGCAACGTCTCAGGACAAGACACTAAATGGAGGCGAAGATTCGGTACCTATAATACGTCTTGGAACATTTGGTTTGAGAGGTCTCTGCCCATTTCGAGGCAGTTGTGGACTTGCCCGCGACGTCTCGTAATGCAAAGGATTGCCTGTCAGTTGATCAGGCGCTGATGTAGAAATGACATCTGCTGTCGACACCATTTTCGGGCGACCCAAGCCAGCAAGATCTTTTTTTCGATGCTCGTGGGCGAATTGATAGCTTCGTTTTGAGGCAATTGATGATGCTGACCCCGAGACAACGTCGTTTACTCTCGGCACAGAAGATCGTGGCGAAGACTTAGGGTCTGCCATTGCGATCTGTTCCTCGCCGTTGGAGGATATAATTCCTTCGCTTTGTGTCAGATGCTGGCCATTGATTCTTGGATTTGATAATTCGTAGGCGGAATTTGGTGGGCGCAATAGCGTGCCAGCCGCTGACGTATTTCTGGTATCCAACACTGCCAAAGCTGCAAGTGCCACGCCGGACAAGGACTGCTTGTGTCCAGACATGGCTGAGACACTGTTATGAAGTATATTGGCGACTTATCGCAGTCATGTACGACGAGATGCTGTTTCCCTCTCGCGATCCTCGAGCCGTCCGTATCTGCCGCCTGATCTCAAGATGTTATATTGCCAACTCATTTGTCATGATGTCAATATTGAGTTTGATATATTGATTCAAGGTGGACTTTCTCGTCTGGAAATGTGAGTACAATCGTCGGTATCCTGAAAAGTCCCGTTCGGACCATGATTTCCTTCAACTGTTATTTTTTTGTAGCGAATCTGGAAAATTGGAAGGGGACGGACAAGTGGTGCGGGGTTCTGGATGCAACCATTGTTGGTTGTTCGAGATTCGTCCAGTACTGCACGGATTGTGAGTGGTTGCAGATTTTGGGGCCTAGTCCACGTTAGTATTGCACAATGCACTAATTAATGACCTTGAGATCCCCGATGCAATGCGATGCGATGCGATGCGATGCGATGTGAAGCGATACATTCAATATGTGCAGGTTTTGAGAGTATAATATACTACCTACTGGTAGTTTTGCATTACATACATAGAAGACACTCTTAAACTGCCTTGCTCGGGCAGAATAAGAGCGACATGCGAAGGTTCAATCCGTGTTCGCCAGCCAGGGGTAAAGTGATGTGGCAGTCCAATGATTGAAGCTCGATGCGGGCTGTATCTATATTTGGATGCATTCCATCAGTACCTGCGCCGTTTCATTGCCGTTCTTCGAATGAAAATCGCTCACAGTGACCCCCACCTCGAGCAGCGGTAACGGCACTGATTTTATGAAGACAAAGCTAGACTGCAACAGTACGACCAAGAATATACTCAGTAATACTATGAACCCAATCAAGCCGCGTTTCTTGCAATTCTATGTAGCTGAGATATACTACAACCAAAAGAAGACTTTTGGAAATTCAAAATAGATTTTAAAGGTCTATTCTTAGTGAGAAGTGATTTTTAGTCTTGGGAAGTGATTTTCCAAGTGTCAATCCTCTCGTGGAAAGTCGACAATAGCGACCAATACCAAGCTTTTCTCGTTTATACCATCTTCTGTTCTGAGACAGAGAGAATATGTTGGAGCTATAGAACTTCCGGGGAGATCGGGTGGTTGAGAAAAAATGGTGAATGTGATGAGTCCAGTTGGCGAGCATGAAGGAGCTATGGCCTCATCATACCAAAAAGTCAACGCCAATATCCTCAACATAAATAGGAACAATGAAAGTGGTGAGATGCGGGCCTAACTGAGATGAGGCTTCGCCTCGACGGTGATGTTCCAACAGTCGAATAATTAATTAGAAGGGAAGAAGGCTCGCGCGCGCGGGGAAACATTACTCCACCTGGGGTTACGGGGTTTGGAGACCCACTTAGTTAGTGTGTGGCAAGTCAGAACAATCGACGACGTTCCCCAGCCCACGATGTGTACCTTACTCACCCTTAGCTCTCACCACAGTCTTTTTACGTGCAGCGATGCGAAAGTCATACTACAGGCCAACACGTAACTAGGTCTCACCAGGCCTAGGCTTGCAGGCTCTTGCGTGACTCCAGTGAAGTTCTAGCATTGAACCGGCCAAACCGCTTCCAGGAATTCCACGCGAAGTCAGAGATCATGAAGCGTCGACTCCAGGGCTCAGCAGCCATCGCTTGTGAGCCATGTCGCAGGCAAAAGGTTATCATTCATATAGAACGTAGTTAATGCGCGTCTTTCTGATAAAATTATAGATGAGATGTGTGGGCGCGGAGAATCCACCTTGTCAAAGATGCGC